GATGTGAGTGTGGCCTTTCCTTAGGAAACAATTCCCAAAGGGATTCAACACCCTGATCCTAACCCTAACTACACCCCCCATCAAGCTGGATGTGGTCTGGGAGGATATGAGTGTGGCCTTTCCTTAAGAAACAATTCCCAAAGGAATTCAGCAGCCTCCTAATCCTAACCCTACTCCCCCCATCGAGCTGGATGCCATGTGGGAGGATGGGAGTGTGGCCTTTCCTTGGGAAAGAATTCCTAAGGGATTCAACAACCTGCTGCCTCCTAATCCTAACCTTACTCCCCCTGTCGAGCTGGACGCTGTCTGGGAGGATGTGTGTGTGATTCCTTCCTCAGGAAAGAATTCCCAAATGGATTCAACAGCTTGCTGCCTGCTAATGCTAACCCTTAACTCTAATCCTAACCCTAATGGTCCTTTCCTTAGGAAAGAATTCCCAAAGGGATTCAACCACCTGCTGCCTGCTAATGCTAACCCCTAACTCTAATCCTAACCCTAATGGTCCTTTCCTTAGGAAAGAATTCCCAAATGGATTCAAGAGCCTGCTACCTGCTAATGTTAACCCCTAATCCTGATCCCAACCCTAATCCTACATCGAGCTGGACACTGTCTGGGAGGATGTGACTGTGGCCTTTCCTCAAGGAAGAATTCCCTAATGAATTCAGCAGCCTCCTAACCCTAACCCTAATGGTCCTTTCCTTAGGAAAGAATTCCCAAGTGGTTTCACCAGCCTACTGCCTGCTGACCCCTAACCCCAACCCCTAGACCTAAACCATGAACCCTAAACCCTTTATTATTGTTATTTTTGTTTCTAAATGCTCTATTTGCTGTTAGAATTCCATTGCTGTTTTTTCTGGCAGATCAGAGACAGGTTTGTCAAGGAACCAGCATTTGAAGACATCACCCTGGAGTCTGAAAGGAAAAGGATATTTAAAGACTTCTTACATGTACTAGAGGTAATTCCTAATTTATTTTTTTTCCTCATCAGAGAAAATACCAAAAAAAAAAATTCCTATTCCTCCTAAGTTGGATGGGAAGGGGAAGGATTCAACAGGACTTTGCTGATTTCTGTTACATTGGGAGTCACCTGAAAGTGATGGATATAAAACCTCATCTCCCAAGTGAGCAACTGGAGAAACATCTTACACTTAAATTTGAGAAATAATTGGTCTTTGAATCTGCTCCTGCAAGAATTTTTGGAGTTGACACGAAAATTTCCTGCTTTGTTTTAGGAAATTTATTGCTGGGGTTTCATAGGAAACAAGTTGAAATTGGATCTAAACTTGTCCAGTATTTTATTCCCTATGAATCAGGGACTCCCAGAACACACAGAATCATGATTATTTTTTTACTGTGCTCGATTTTCTTGCTGATGAGCAAAACAAATGCTGCAGTTTAGTTCCATCCTTAATTCTGACAGGGCCTTGTTCAATAAAGTGCCAGTGTGAGATTTATTTCGTTTTGCAGCACGGGCTCTTTGGGGGTTTTAATTTATTTGCTGCAATTTGGGAGAATTTGGGTTTAAAATGACTTAATTTGACAATTTGAAATTTGGCAAAGCAAGGTGTGGGTTTTAGGCCAACTTTAAACTGGATCCAGGTGCCAAACCTTGTGTTTCCTTGCTCCTGGGGGCTTTCATTGTGGCAACAGTGCCCATTTTTTGGGGGGTTTTGACAGTAAATGTGTGATTGGGGGTTTTAACCTGTCCCAGGTTTGTGGAGGGTGAGGAATGTGGTCCCAGGTTTTTGGGGTGTCCTGAGGGAGCTGATGAGGGGCTGCCTCATTCCTGAGGGGCTGTTCTCCAGGGACTGCAGTGACAGGACACAGGGAATGGCTTCCAACTGAAAGAGGGGAACTTTAAGTTGGATCTTGGGAAGGAATTCCTGGCTGGGAGGGTGGGGAGGCCCCGGCCCAGGTTGGGCAGAGAAGCTGTGGCTGCCCCTGGATCCCTGGAAGTGTCCAAGGCCAGGTTGGAGCAACCCGGGCTAGTGGAAAGTGTTGGAGTTGGAACTGGATGACCTTTAAGGTCCTTTCCAGCCCATCCCCTCTGGAATTGTGTGCTGAGCCCCTCTCCTGTCCCACAGCACGAGTGCCAACACCACCACTCGAAGACCAAGAAACATTCGAAGAAGTCCAAAAAGCATCACCGGAAACGCTCCCGATCCCGCTCCGTAAGTGTTCCAGGGGCCCCAAAACCCACCTCTGCCACGGCTCCCGAGGGCTCCTGTCCTTGGGATCCATTGTAATCATTCCCTGGCTTTGCATCCAAAGGGCTCCGAGTCTGAGGACGACGACAGCCACTCCAAGAAGAAGCGGCAGCGCTCGGAATCCCGCTCGGTGTCCGAGCGCTCGTCCAGTGCGGAATCCGGTACGGGATGGGCTTGGATTGGTTTGGAATCCTCATTCCCAGTTGGATTGCTGGGTCTTCATCACTCCACTGATGTGTTTTTGTTTCCTGTGCCTGCAGAGAGGAGTTACAAGAAGTCCAAAAAGCACAAGAAGAAGAGCAAGAAGAGGAGACACAAGTCTGTAAGTGCAGTTCAGCTCTGAGGTGCCTCGTGGCCAACCCGGCACTGCTTTCACTCATCCAGAGGGGATTTTCCAGGGAAAAAAACCTGCTTGGAGTGGGATCAGGCTGGAGGAGGGTGTTGCCAACATAATACCTCTGTTATATATCTTCATATTGAACCACTGCTAAATTTGGGGGGTTTAAGTGCAGCCATGTGAGATGTGAAGGACTGCACTAAGAACCTGGGATTTGCTTTTATCCTGGCAAATCCTGGTGCTCACTGTTACTGTGGGAAGAATTCCAGCCATTCCCTGTGCCTGCCTGTCAAGGATGTGTCAGAAGCTCTGAATCAAGAGCTTTTACCCTGTATCACCTGAGGCCAAAGAGTGGGGTTTGTAACAGTAAAAGCCAGAAAAACGTTTTCCAGAACCCACCCCTTCCCAAGATCTCATGGAATGACTGCCAGCTGTGCACAGGGATGGGCTGGGGGACATCCAACATGTCCCACCTTTGCACTGGGAATGGTGGAAGTTCTGCCTTGAACAAATCTTCCTCCTCCTCTTTCCAAGTCCCTCCAGTGATGTTTTGGGTTATTTATTTCTGGGCTTAATTAGGAACTACTTGGAGCAGTTTCCAGGGGCTGGTTTGAAACAGAGCCAGTGAAGAGGGGAAATTTAGGTTGGATGTTGGGAAGGAATTCCTGGCTGGGAGGGTGGGGAGGCCCTGGCACAGGTTACCAGGGGAGCTGTGGCTGCCCCTGGATCCCTGGAAGTGTCCAAGGCCAGGTTGGAGCAACCTGGGCTGGTGGGAGGTGTCCCTGTCCGTGGCAGGGGTGGAAGGAGATGATCCTTAATTTCCCTTCCATTCTGGGATTCCATAAAATCGAGTCAGACTTTTCTGCCTGTGGTCATTCTATAAATCAATATTGAACAGCTTCCACATTGATACTCAACATTTCCCCCTCAACTTGCCCAGGATTCCCCAGAGTCGGATCTGGAGCGGGAGAAGGACAAGAAGGAGAGGGAGCGGGACAGTGAGAAGGAGCGGGGCCGGCAGAGATCCGAGTCCAAACACAAATCTCCCACCAAGAAACGGCCCGGAAAAGATTCCGTAAGCTCTGCTCCCACCTGCCTGGGGCTGTGGGATGGGATGGGATGGGACAGGGGACCTTTGACCAAGAGTCCAACTGTGACCTTGGAACACTCCCCTGGAGTGTTCCAAGGTCACAGTTGGACTCTTGGTCAAAGGTGGGACTCCGTGATCTTGGAGCTCTTTCCCATTCCCAAATAACTGGGTTTTTGTGGATCCTGTGTGTGACACAGAACAGCCACTTGTGCCACGTGCTGCCCAGCTCTGTCTGTGTCCTTCCTGAGGGTCCCAGTGGGCACAGGTGGCACCTCCAGAGGGTCCAACCCTCTGGAAACCCCCGTGCTGACCACGATCCCGGTTTTCTCCGCAGGGGAACTGGGACACGTCGGGCAGCGAGCTGAGCGAGGGGGAGCTGGAGAAGCAGAGGAGGACTCTGTTGGAACAACTGGATGAAGATCAATGACAAATTATTTATACCAAAAATGTTTACATGCCATCCCACCCCAGCAGAGCCTGGAGGGGCCTCGACCCCCCCTTCCACAGCTGGAATTACAGCGGCTTTTAGTTTGTCCCACGTCACCCCACTCAGTCCCTATTGGCAGCAAATGGAGAAAACCAATGGAATTCCCAGGGAAAAGCTGGGAAAAAGCCTGGAGCTCTGGGCTGGGCTGGGCTGGAGGTGCCCCCAAGCCCAGGGGAGCCTTGGCACCTTCCTGGGCAGGGAATAACACTGAGCTGCTGGGCAGAGCCATTCCAGCTTTGGAAAAGGGGCTTTAATTTAGTTTCTTCTGGTTTAATTCCCTGGATGGATCTGGGATATTGGGAGCTTTCTTCTGGGAAGGCAACGGGAGCGACGAATCCACGTCCTGATCCCTCCTGCAAACCCCCAGATTTTGGGATTTTGGGATTGTTCTCAGTCACAGCGTGGAGTTTGTCCGAGATTTCACTGACTCTGAGCACTCACTCCAAGCGAGTTTTCCCAATAAATAACCCAGGGAATGGGAATGGGAATGGGAATGTGGCTGCAGCGCCAGCAGAGGGGGTGTGTGTGACACAACCGCCTCCTTCCCGAATCCCGCCCCGGCCCAGCCGCGGGTGTTCCCTCAGCGCTTATCTCCACCTCCAGCTCCACCTCCACCTGTTCCTTCCCCTCTGGAAAATGTAGGAATAAAACTCAAATTTGCCCCCGATTTCCATGTGTTGCCTTAAGAACCTGCTGCAGAATGTCCCTGCCCAGCCCAGAGCAGGGAGGAGGAGGAGGAGGAGGCAATTCCAGCCCTGTTTTCCAGCCCCTGCGTGTCCAGGAAGGTGCCCCCGCCCTGCTGGGGGAGAAAAATTGGGAATCTGCTCTCCTTGGAATATTTTTGTACATTTTTATTGATGATTAAACCTTGTCTTGTACCCTGCCTGGTGTGTCTTTGTCCTGGAGGAATCCTGGCTCTGCCCCTTGGAATTCCAACATATCCCTCACAAATCCCATCCAGGGAATACTCAGCTCAGTTCCTTCCCAGCCTGGATTTTCCCTCTTTTTGACAACTGTTCCTGGGGCACAAACCCCCCCCAGGTGGATTCATCCAGGGAATTCTCTCTCTGGGGTGGTCACGTGGCTCAGACTCCTTGGGAACACACTGGGAGTGGAATTGGGCATTCCAGGTGGAAAATGCAGGAGCCCCAAACCATTTTTCCTGGGCTGATTTGGGATTTTTTTTCCCTGGGATCATCTGGGATTTTCCCTGGGGTGAATTGGGGTTTTTCCTGGGATGATTTGGGATTTTTTACCTGGATTGATTTGGGATTTTTTTTTTCCTGGAATTATTTGGGTTTTTTTCCTGAGATGATTTGGGATTTTTCCTGGGATCATCTGGGGTTTTTCCCAGGATTATTTGGGATGTTTCCTTTAATTATTTGGGTTTTTTTCCTGGGATGATTTAGGATTTTTCCTGGGATCATCTGGGATTTTTTTCCCAGGATGATTTGGAATTTCTTTCCTGGAATGCTTTGGCATTTTTTCCTGGAATTATTTGGGTTTTTTTCCTGGGATGATTTGAGGTTTTCTCCTGGGATCCTCTAGGATTTTTTCCTGGGATCATCTGGGATTTTTTTCCCAGGATGATTTTGAATTTTCTCCTTGGGATGATTTGGGGTTTTCCTTGGGATGATTTGAGATATTTTCCTGGGATGATTTTGGATTTTCCTTGGGATGATTTGGGATATTGTCCTGGTGTGACCTGGGGTTTTTCCTGGGATCATCTGGGATTTTTTTCCTGGAATGATTTGGGATTTTTTTCCTGGGATCATCTGGGATTTTTCTCCCAGGATGATTTGGAATTTTCTCCTAGGATGATTCAGGGTTTTCCTGGGATGATGTGGGATTTTTCCTGGGATTATTTGGGTTTTTTTCCGGGGATCACCTGGCATTTTTCCCAGGATGATTTGGGATTTTTTCCTTGGATCATCTGGGATTTTTTTCCCAGAATGATTTGCACTTTTTCCTGGGATGATTTGGGATTTTTCCTGGGGTGAGTTTTTTTCCTGGGATCATCTGGGATTTTTCCTGGAATATTTTGAGATTTTTTCTTGGCATCGTCTGGGATTTTTCTTTTTTTGGGGTTATTCAGGATATTTCCTGAGATGATTTGGGTTTTTTTTTTCCTGGGATCATCTGGGATTTTTTTCCTGGGATGATTTGGAATTTTTTCCTGGGATGATTTGGGGTTTTCCTTGGGATGATATGGGATATTTTCCTGGAGTGATTTGGGATTTTTCCTGGGATGATTTGGG